CAATTTAACAGAGGGAGGGAGGGAGGCGGGACGGCGGTAATTGATGCAACAATAGCCTCAGTCCACATGGGCAAACTGCAAAGTCCGCCAGTTGTGCCTCGAACCAGTGGCCTGATACTTAGGCATCGCTTTTGGTGCCTGGTGCGTGGGCGGGCATCAGTATGAGTATGAGACGTATGAGAAAAGCAAAAAAAGAACGAGAGAGACAGACAGCCTTATAGGCATGGGCCTTGGCGAGACAGAGAGTTGCCAAAATCTTGTGATTTAGGCAAGGGCTTAACAAATTCCAGAGCTTTGCGACTGTCGAAAGGTTTGAAGGATTCGGTGCTCGGCCTGTGGGACGAGGAAAGGGATCGGAGGACCGCCACCGGGCTCGGGTTCCCGGTGACTCTGCCTCCCCTGTGTTGCAACGTCGGAACACATCTCGGCCTCTGAGGTTCCTTTTCTCAGGCTTCGAAGAGAACAACTTCAAGGAGCGCCTCTACCAGGCCTCTTTGTTAGACGACGCCCTCCCACGACGTCCTCCACTTCTTGTCGCCGCCAGAGGCTCTCGAAGTTTATCACAAGAAGCAGGATTTGTTCAGGCAGATCCAGCAGAATGGCCCGAGCCTCCGACACGTGCGCCGAAAGAGCCGTCGCACAAGTGCCTGCAAGGAACCGTCAAAGAAAGAATGAACAAAAAGGAAAAGAAAGAAGGATGGCAAAAGTAATAAAGACAGACAGCGAGACCTAAAAAGAAGTAAATAGCAAACGAAAACGCAAAACTAAACACTGAAAGGCAGATAGAGAGCGGACAACCGAAAGAAAACGGTACAGAACGAATGAAAAGAAGAAAGCGAAACAGAGAGACAGAGGGAGAGAGCAAAGAAAAATGAATGCCAAGTACGACTTAAAAATTAAGAAGCATTGAAAGAGCAAAAGAAACAACCCAGAAAGAACGAGCAAGAAAGATTGACATCGCGAGAGGGTTTGACAGCCCTTATGCCCAAAAAGACAGACAGAGAGAGAGAGAGAGAGAGAGAGAGAGAGAGAGAGAGATAGAGAGAGAGAGAGAGAAAGAGAGAGAGAGAGACCCCCATGTGTTATGGGGTGGCCCCTGCCACCCCGTAACACATGGCGGGCCGCAAGGCCAGGGGGTTTAAGACGCCCCCTACGCCCAATGAAAAAAAGAGAGAGAGACAGGGGAGGACGGGGAGGCGAGTGGAGATATAGAGAGAGAGAGAGGAGAACGACGGTTAAGAGAGAAAGACGAAGCAACCAGCAAGAAAGACAAAAATGATAACCAAAGAAAGAGAAGAGCGAAATGGCAAGTGATCAAAGAACAAAGGAAACAGATAAATGAGTCTAAATGCGGAGAAGACAAGCCCTGTCCTGTTGAAGAACAGGATGTCTTTACGAGACATCTCCAAGCTTTTACCTCCGAAAGCCTGCAGAAAGAAGCCCAGCTGTGCGGTGATACGAAGGATTCCTTGGTTCACTGCCCGGTTTTGGCCCCGCTTGATGGCTCGCGCGCGGGTCGAGAAGCTTCGAGCCGCTCGCTGCGGCTCATCTTGTCAGATTCTTCGCTCCTCGACTCTTCTCGTTGCCTCGCGGCCGTGCTAGCAAAGGCCACACGCTGGAGAACACGAACGGTGTTGAGTGGCTCAAGCGATCCGTGCGGCTCAGGACATCGGGCCCAATTATTCCACCAACCAGCAAGGCAGAAACAAGGTCATAAGGATCAATCTAAACCCCAAAACTGATGAGGGTGTTGAGGAGGATTTCGAACACGCTAGCTGATGGACGGCTCTGGAGCATCTCAGCTTGCTACTGGTGGTGCTGTGCCGCTGCGCGCAACCCGTAGCCACTGCAGCCTTTCTCTCCGACAACTCGATAGGAAAGTGTTATGGGAAAAAAAAGAGAGGAGAGCACCCGTCACCCAAAGCCGTCACCCGCAGCGGATCGCCGCATCGCCACCGAGGCCTGCAGAAGAACTACTACTGGCCGCAGGTGCACGGGGAGAGTGCAGTGAGTGCAGAGTCGCTCGGAGAGGAGCGGAGAGTCGATCAAAACGTGGTGAGATCTGCCATTTCGCTTTGCTGCGCTTGAGGCCATCGACGAGTATGAGCGGCACCTGGACTGGACACTGGAGGGGCCGCTGGCCTTCGGATGAAGGCGTGCCTTTCGATTCGCTCACCTTAGGGCGGCCGAAACGGCACGGGCACAGATCCTTACCGGTGTCTTTTCCATCTTGCTAGCAAGCCCGTTTTGGGCGAAGGGCGGCCCCTTTAGTCTTTAGCGGGGGCCCCCTCTCCGTACTAGGCATACCCCGAGGGCGTCGGCATCTTGACGCGTCCGGGAGTCAGCGCAAGGCCGCTGCTGTCTTCTGCCCGTGGGCCGTGGGCACCAAAGCATTTACCGCACAGCCGCACCGCTGGGCGAGCATCGTTAGCTGCAAAGCTGGGACCAGCCACCAGTCGCCACAGTCACTCTAGGTCTCTAGGTGTAGCCCAGCGCAAAACAGCCCAGCGCAGCTCTCCAAAGTGAATGCTCCGAGCCCTGATGGAACGTTTCATTTTTCCAGTTTCAAATTCGTACTTCTGACCATTGAGGTCACCGAAGTATCGCCACTCTTCTCTATGCTTTTCATTGTGCGATGTGTGCGACTCTGGCACATCACGCACATCAAGAAGCTCCTCGCTGCCTTGCAAACCAACACTGGCACAGCAAGGGCATGGAGTGGATCAGAAACAGCTTCGACAAAGTCACTTTTCGAAAACATCACATATTTTCTTTTAAGCTTTGCAGGCAGCGTTCTGAATCTGAGGCGCAGCCGTGATACGGACACACATGCGAATGCGACATATCATATCACAACTCACAGCAGCAATGTGCCCGCCGGATTCGGGAGAAAGCCGCTGCCTCGTTTCCCTCGCTAGGCCTAGGGCCTGGGGCCCCCGAAGTGGACGGCCCAAGACCTGCAAGCGCAGCCCTGCGCATCTCTTCACGCGCTTCAGTGAGTGAAGGCTCCCAAAAAGGGTGCGTGCTGTGACAGTGCTGCAAGGGGCTGTTTTCCAGTTGTTCGGTGTGCAATCTGCGGATCTGCATGTGTCTGTGTGGGCGGCTTTCTTCCTTTAAAGCTGGCTGCAGGCTTGTTTTTCCTTTAAAGCTGGGACCGAAGTGTAAAAGTGTGTGTGTGTGTGGGCAACCCAAAATACCACGAGAATTTCAGCAGCGCAAGGGGGGCAAGGGCTCCAGTGACAAG